TGCCCCGCTGCAAGCTGCCTGCCGGCATGGCCAGGACCGGGGTCACCCCGGGACTGCTCGGGGAGCTCTGCCGAGTGCACTGTTTGCAATTCCCAGCAGAGAAAAAGCAGCTGGAGACATGAAACTCAAAAGTAAAGCTGCGCATGTCGGGAGGGCCTGGTGCTCAGGCTGTGCCGGCATCGCAGAGAAACAGCTCTGGCTGCAGGGGGATGGGGAAAGGCACGGAGTGGGAGGCACAAACGCAGCCTCTCCACCATGGCTGCCCGCTCTGGGCCGGGACGTGGGGTGCTGCAGGGGCCGGGGGCCACAGCGAGGGGGGTGTGAGCTCCAGCGAGGGCAGCCATGCAAGCCTGGACCTCGAGCGGCGAGGGTGCCAGGTCTGGGAGGAAGAGCACGGCTGGGCGCTGGATCCTCTCCGCGATGGCAGGAACCGTCCTTGTGGGAGGGGGGTCCTCCTCTCCAAGGCTGGGTGTCCGGCCCATCCAGGGGGAGCAGCTCTGGCTCCCCACACCCGGGCGAGAGACGCAGGGGATGGGCACAGGGCTGCAGCCGACCTCCTGACCCCGCTCCCGCAGGAGGGCCTGGACGGTGTCCTCAAGATCCTGGTGAACCAGCTGAGCTCTGATGACGTGAACGTGCTGACCTGTGCCACCGGCACCCTCTCCAACCTGACCTGCAACAACAGCAAGAACAAGACCCTGGTGACGCAGTCAAACGGGGTGGAGGCCCTGATCCACACCATCCTGCGGGCGGGTGACAAGGAGGACATCACCGAGCCGGCCGTCTGCGCCCTGCGGCACCTCACCAGCCGGCACCCTGAGGCCGAGATGGCGCAGAACTCGGTGCGGCTCAACTACGGCATCCCCGCTATCGTCAAGCTCCTCAACCAGCCCAACCAGTGGCCACTGGTCAAGGTAAGGGGCTGGGGGGATGGATGTTTGGGGGCTGGAGGAAGCCAGTGGCTGGGCTCACGTGAGCCCCTGGCTGCTGGCCTGCGGTGGGAGGTGCTGCCGAGGGGGTCTGCGGCTGGTGCCGTGCACGGGGCGATGGCGGGCTGCTGGCACTGCAGCCCTGGGCCCATCGGGCAGCGTCCTTGTCGGCAGCTAATGGAGGAAATGGCTTTGAGCGGGCTGCTCACCGCTCGGCCGGAGGCAGTGCTCCCCCCGGCCTCCCCCGTGGGGAGGGGGCCGGATCCGGTGCGGGAGGAAGTTGAAGTCAGCCCATGCCGCAGAGGGGGATGGGGTGGGACGGGCAGGGAGAGGGCTGGCGGGTCCCATGCTGCTCTGATCCATGGTCGGGACAAATCTCTCCTTCCCCACTTCTCTCCTCCAGGCTACCATAGGCCTGATCCGCAACCTGGCCCTGTGCCCGGCCAACCATGCCCCGCTCCAGGAGGCCGCCGTCATCCCCCGCCTGGTCCAGCTGCTGGTCAAGGCTCACCAGGATGCCCAGCGGCACGTAGCGGCTGGCACGCAGCAGCCCTACACGGTGAGTCCTTGCGGCAGGGTCTGCCGGGGGTGCCCCTCTGCCCTGCTCCTGGCACCCCAAACGCCACCTTGTCCCTTGGCGGGGTGGCCTGTGCCCACGCTCAGGGTGGTCGTGCCCTGGTGTGGGGTGCCCCGGCTGAGCGCTTGTCCCCTGGCAGGACGGAGTGAAGATGGAGGAGATCGTGGAGGGGTGCACAGGGGCACTGCACATCCTGGCCCGGGACCCCATGAACCGCATGGAGATCTTCCGCCTCAACACCATCCCTCTCTTCGTGCAGGTCAGGGACTGGGGGGACATGGGGGCTGTGCTCGGTCTCCCCCCGGCTGGCTGTCCCCTGTGCCG